TAACTAATGTCCACCCTACTGTTACTCATTTATATTAAGATTTAAAAATCTATTTGGTATTGGTATGGCGAATATCATTCAGTAATAGTAATAAATCACACAGCAATAGTACATTCATGTAGTTGTAAAAAGCTTGATAATATATTAAGTAATCCAAAGTATTCAGAATACGTTACTCTCATTGAGTAAAGTAACCTTCCCAACACTGCCTATTCTTCAATTTTTTTTTTTTTTTTTTTTGCGTATTGTTCAAACTAATGACCTTAGCAATGTTAGTTTATGTTATCTGTTTATTTTATGTTGACTGTTGTTTCCAGTTCTAAAAAAGAATAATCAATTCTAATAACCTAGATCTACACATTGTGTTTATATTGTGCTACACGGAGTTCTGTTGCTCCACTTGCACCGGAGCCAAAGGAATGTGTCATCACATCCAGCAGGACGCTTGACATGTGGAGCAGTCCAGTTGGACTCGCCTGCAAAACAAAAAGAACATTTCTGCCCTGGATCCCAATTATGATAGATAGCATTTTCCCAGTGGGTTTTTGAGTTGAACTGAGTTATATGGCCTCATCCATCATCGGTTTATTTTGCGTTTCTGGCTCTAATGCCTAATTATTTTATTCTTATTTCTGAACAGTCACAACAGTGTAATCAGAGCGTGTCAGAACACAGCGACATTTTTAAAAGATTTCTCTCACCTCAGCGGTGTAATCAATAACTCATTACCACACTAATTTTGAGACATTTCACTGTGCTTACTCTAAACAAATGTTCTCATTGTATGCCACGGGGTATGGAGTGGATATGTTTTAGGAGCAAAACAAAAGATGTTTTTCGTGTATTCCAGATGGTGGAACATGAGCAGGACTAATATTAACAGGACTTCCAAAACCTTAATACACTTTAAAGAATAATATAGAGTTTGTTTGCTGTGTTGGAATGACATAGATAGGACTGGGAAACCTGATGACTGGACCCTAACAGAAATTCAGTAATTGTTTATTTACACCATGGATCCACATTACAGCTAATGAAAACCATGATTAGATCGAGTATGTTCCAGTCTGGTTCAGTTAGTGTTGACACTCAGGCGATAAAATCTTCACTCCCCTCTAGAGTTTACAATTCTTTTCATCCTCATCCATTCTTCCACATCTTTTCTTTTTCCACATGAATTGCAGTACAGATCTGCAAGCTGAAGAATCAGTGTGTCATCAAATTTGCCTGTCTGTTGACTCAGTAGCTCCATTCTGGCTGCCAGTAACAGAAGAAAGTGTACAAAATAGTCCATATGAGTGGGGTCTCTGGCCTTTTTAGGATGGCAGTTGCAAAATACAGGCAGGTTTTGTTTTTGTTTTTTTTCATGATTGTCTGTTTGTGTTTCAGGATTTACCGGAGAAAAAGGCAACCAGGGCCCTCGTGGAATGAAAGGGTCTGGTGGGGTTGATGGCACGCCGGGAGAAAGAGGAGACGTTGGACCTGCTGGGCCTAAAGGTACATTTGTGGTGCGAGTCGTGATACTAATAGTTTGGAGTTTAATACTAATTAACTTGGCCTGGTCTTATGAGCTCACTGATATTTATGCATGCAAATATGAGAAAGCCAAGTACTGGAAAAGCAAGAGCATACAATACAGAGCTGCTAGAAGGTTGCCGTCCCTTCGCAGGTAACGGTGAGGGTCATATACCAGTCAGAAGGTCAATATATTGATATCGCTGACTAATTCAATCTACGTATCAAAGTATCGAGTGGCCCCTGATGCCCCCATGTATGTGTTTAAGTACAGCAAAAAGGTGAATGTGTGGAAAAGGTCATTCCAAGCATGACACAGAAAGAAATCTAGGCAAGTATCAACAAATCAGAGAGAGAGATTCAAATCAAACAATTAGATGGTGACATTCAAATCCACCATACCTCATCACTTTTCATTGTTGTTTGTGAAGCAGCACTTACAAAAAGCACAAGTTACCACTTTCTACTTTCTTTGTCACTTACTTTGAAACTGGCTTGGCACTGCTCTCTCAAAACAGCTTTTAAAATCTGAATCATATCAACCGGGTTTAAAAACCCTGAGCATCCTGAAAATCTTCTCTGCAGATCTGTGTTTATTTTTGTTCCTACTTTTTTTTTTTTAAAGCGAGTCAAAAGAAGTAGTTAATGCAAGAACAGCTAAATGGCACTCTTAGTCAAATGTGTACAGATCAACCAGCATAAGGTTTCTGCTTTTAAAAAGACATTGTTTGGAAGAAGATACATTTTCCTTCAATTTTATTGTAAAATTATTCCTATACAATAAAAATTGTGGGCTTAGCAGGTTATTTCTGCTTCTTGCTCTCTGGTTAATCTGTTCGCTCTTGTGCAGAGAGAAAGTTTTTTTTTCATTACAACAACATAGAGTGTAATCTTTGCTTTAAAACTATGTAGGCAATTGTGTGTTTGTGGAGCAACAACAGTAGCCACATTAAAATAAGTTAGTCATACTCTCACACAGCAGCTCATCAGTACGGATGTCCTTTTTCTCCCTGTAGTCTTGTATAAATCACAAATTAATCTTAACAACACTTGCCTACTGAAAGACTCAGTCCTCAGATGACTCCATGACTTGTTGACCTTTATGTCACTGAAAAAGTTCCGTACCAGGATTTATCAGGAACACAACACTTCTTACATCACCAACAGGTGCTACTGTTTGCTTTTTGTCTTTAGCCATGGGAGCTATATTCGCTTATACTCTCCCATTTATTCAAGCAAAACACCTGTCTCTACTTATCTAATAGGTTTTCCATTCAATGAAATGCAAGAAATTATTGGATGTTACCAGAAACCGTGATTATCAACTAAACAGCTGGAAAGCAACAATATTTCTATATTATTAGCTCCAATGGAACAACTGTCAGAAAAAGAGAGGAAAACTTGTTGATGCGTGTGTACGTACTCATTTTCCAGTATGCACTAATCCAGCCAGTTTTTCTTACTGCCCCCATCCATCATGTTGTCATGACACAACCCCTCCAAATCTACCATGGAAATTAAGATCCAAGAAGCATGCACTTAAACAAATCTCAACCACATTCTGACACAGAAACCTGAATAACATATTTAAAGGTACTTTTGAATAGAACCCACACACCTTTATCATTATAATAGGATCATATTTTATATGTGGCAAAATCCATAATGAAGAACTAATACTGTCTGACAACTCAGTATATCACTATATACAGTGTGGGGAATTTACCAGTAGTTTTCCATTCCACTCTGTAAA